GAAGGGCTGGGCGTGGGCGTGGGCGGGCCGGGCCCGGGGAAGGAACGCGGAGTTTCGGGCCCTCCTCCGAACCCCACCGGTGAGGCCACCACCAAGCTCTGTGTCTAGGGAGCACCCACCCCGCTTCCTCGCCTGACCTTAGGCTTCATCCCCGTCTCTTAACCTCGCTTCCTCACGGTCTCCCGTCTGCGACTTCCCCGTCCACCTGTCCCCTAGAGCCACCAGCGGAGAGGACCTCCGTCCTCAGGACCGACCTCCTCCCCTCCCGCCCTTCATCATTCCGTTGAATGGCCTGCATCTTTGCGTCCTCTGCTTCTAGCCGCCCCTAGCAGAGGCCATTGCCAGACCAGCCCACACTGTACCCTTTGGAGACCTTTTGCCTCCTGTTCCCTCTGCTTGGAATGCCCTTCCCTTTCTCCTTGCGCACCTGCCCAGCTCCTACTCATCCTCTTAACACCATGTCCCCCTGTGATGCTATTCCTGGCTCCCTGCAGGCAAAGTGAGTCATTCCCTCTGTGTGTGCCTGCCACCTTCATACCTCAGCCACCGCATGTGTCACATCGTTGTCATTTTCTGTGGGTACCTTCCCCATCACAGTGGGAACTTCTGGAGGGCAGGCGGCTTGTGATTCATTGCCATGTCCTCAGTATCTAGCAGCAACAAAGCAGAGGGCCAGACACGCAGTGGTTGCCTTCCTCATTTCCTGAATGGTCTGCTAGTTGTCAGTCACCATACTTAAAGCTTTAGAGCCATTAACTCACCCTCTGAGGTGAGCACTATTATCTCTGTTTTAAGATTCAGAAACTGGGGCTCAGAAAGTCAAAATAACTTGCTCAGTTAATACAGCAGAGAAATGGGGAGCTGGGGTTATATATAAACCCAGCCTGTCTGACTCCAGAGCCAGCCCTCATGACCTCTGAATAACAGCTGAACATAGTAAACCAAGCAATGCATTTGGAGTCAGGCGTAAGCCCAGTTAAGTATTAGCTCTTACCACTTTTCAAATCTGAGCCTGGGTAAGCCTCAGTTTTCTCAAATGCAAAATAAGAATAACAGTCCTGACCTGGTGTACCTCACAGGCAGCCATTGAATCGAATGGCAGGTGCAGACAGGTGAGGTTAGCTTCCATGTGAAGCTGGAAACAGCTTCTCGGTGTCCGGGCTCTGCCTTTCTGATGACACTAGCTTTTCTCCTGCCCAGATTCTGCTGAAGTGATCCAGTCTCGAGTGAATGACCAGGAGGGCCGAGAGGAATTCTATGTGCACTATGTGGGCTGTGAGTGACCTGGGGTATCAGGGCCTGGGAGGGGGGAGCCGGTTGGGAGGACAGCACCCTCATGGCGCATCCTCACAGTTAACCGGCGACTAGACGAATGGGTAGACAAGAACCGGCTGGCACTGACCAAGACTGTGAAGGATGCCGTGCAGAAGAACTCGGAGAAGTACCTGAGCGAGCTGGCCGAGCAGCCTGAACGCAAGATCACTCGCAACCAAAAGCGCAAGCATGATGAGATCAACCATGTACAGAAGGTCCGGGCTCTCCCCTCCCCCAGGGCCCCAGAGGCTCCGCTGCCTCTGCCACCTCCTTTGGGTGCCAGTTCCAAAACCGCAACAGCTCCCATTTCTTAAGCTCCTACAGTGTGTCAGAGACTTCCCTATCTCTTCTCATGTGCTCTTCCCAGATGAGAAAACAGGTTCAGAGAGGGCAGGGGCGTGGCTACAGTCTCACAGCTAGCAAATGGCACAGCTGGGACTGGAATTCAGGCTTCCTGCACAGATAGTGTATTTTATCGTTTATTGTTCCACATTAGACAAACCAACTTGAAGTCCAAAGGGAAGGAAAAGAATGAATGATATTGGAAAAAGAACGAATGATATTGGGCACTTGCTATTGCCCAGAACTCTGCCGAGTACTCTATGTGTATAAACTCATCAACGCTTCCTTAACAGTTCAATACCACAGGTGTGTGTGTGTGTACATACTAGAGGCCAGGTGCATGAAATTTGTACACAGGTAGCGTCCCTAGGCCTGGCCTGCGATCAGGGCAGTGGGGGGCCTTCCTTCACTCTGCACTGCCCCCTGGTGGTCAGCGCACGTCATAGTGAGCGATCAGTCTCCCGGTCAAACTCCGGAGGGGATACTTTGTGTATTCGCCTTTTATACACACACACAGGATGGGGCAAAGATAGGTTAAAGTGTTTGTATGGAAAATAATACAATAATAAAACAAACTGTTTCATGTACTTATCACTGTAAACCTACTTTTGCCCCACCCTGTATATATTTTTTGTAGATGAGGAAATAGGCTCAGAGAGGTTAGCTAACATACCTAAGGTCACACAGCTAGTAAAAGGGTGGGCTGGAGTTAGAATAATAATAACAGACATTTATTGGCTTGTGACCCAAAGTTTTAGGCTAAGTGTTTGAATACATGATCTCACTGAAGTTTCACAACAACCCTGTGAAGTAAGCATTATTATCCCCATTTATATGGGAGGTACAGATAGATTTAAGAACCCAGTCTGGAATTAGATTTGCCACTGTCCAACTTCAGGGCACAAATCCTTACCATGACTTTGACACATCCTAGAAATAGGCCACTTGTTTCCGAAACTTGGATTCTTTTCATCAGGCCAGCCTGCCCTGGGCGGTTACTTTTCTCCCACTCCGAGCCTCAGCTTCTTGATTTGGAACGTGGGGATGCAAGAGAGCTGGATTCACCGAGCGCTCGGGACACACACATTAGTTTTGGTTAATGCGGTTTCTTCTAAGTGCTCGTGTGCTTGCAGCAGTGTTTTTGCTAACTGTGGGGCACAACTGTTAGTAGATTGCCAAGTTAGTTCAGTGCGTTGTGACCAGCACTTACATTTTTTAAAATGGAAGAAAGAAAGAGGATAAAAGAAAATAGCAGAGTGCATTGCACTTTATTAAAGATAAGTATTTTGAGAAGCTTTTATTTCAATACAAATACATATATCTGTATGCATAAACATCAACTTATTTACAGCGCTAACTGCACTTCCTACTGTGGTTTGTGATAAAAGTTAAATAAAAATTGAAATACCCTGAACTAAAATGACCCCTCAAGGTCTAAGGCAGCACTGTCCAATTGAACTTCCTGTGATAAATGGAAAAGTTTTGCATCTGTACTGTCCAATAGAGTAACCACATGTGGCTATTGGGAACTTGAAATGTGTTTAGTGTACTAAGAATTAAATTTCATTTAATGAATTTCAATTGAAGTAGCCACTTATGGGTAGTGGCTACACTATTGAACAGCACAGGCCTGAGGTTCTCAGTTCCTCAACCAATTTGCGCTGGCCAGTTAAGTCTCTAAGATGCACCTCTACACTGGCACTCAGCCAGGCGATGACAGTGGGCCAGGTGATAAAATCAAAGAATGGATAATCATCGAGTTCACAGGCAGCAAGATTCTTCAGAACCTAGTTAATGTTTAATTCTAAATAAATTGCAGCACTTAAGAAAAGCAGTGTTTTTGTAGTTCTTTAATGATTTGCAGAAGAAGATTGTGCTTTGTGAGAGCTGGGAAACATATTTTAAGGAGACATTTGAGGAAGAAAATGAGGAAATCTTTCTTCTCCCATCTTGGCAGGGATTAGACTCGGGAGTTGGACCAGGGACTTATGCCCAACTGTGCTGAGTACCTTTTCTGTGACGGGCAAGTGACCTCACCTCTTTGTGCCTCAGTTTCCTCTTTTGTGCAGTGCGGATAATGAGCAATCGTGTCTCAGGCTTATTGTGAGGACTAAATGAAATCATGCCTGTGGAGTGCTTGGCACTTGGAATAATGGCAGCTAGTTCATCCCCTGGGCAAGTGACCTCACCTCTCCCTGCCTGTTTACTTCTCTCTGAAGTAGGAGTGAGTGCTGTAGGTGTGAGGCCAGACAGTCCCAGTGCTTTGTGGAAGGGCCTTCTGAGGAAAACGTTGGCTCCTTTTCTCCCTTCTCACCTGCAGGGCAAGGCTGCTGTCTACTCTGGTTTAGGTCATAGGCCGTGGGTACCCACTCCATTTTCTGGCTGTACTTGGTTCCTCCTACAGAGTTTGGCCTAGGAACAGGATGTGCTGTGAGTGCGACATGACTCTCAGTCCCTGCTTTCCAAGAACTTGGAACATAGGGGAGCCAAGTGGGGCAGTTAGAGGTTATTGTTGTAGATCTCTGTGTTCCTAACTTGGAAAGGACAGGGTATATTCTGCATCGGGAGCATCCAGTCCGGCCACCTGGAGGGGATGGGAAGGATGCTGGGCCTCGAGGGACAGGAAAGAGCACAGTAAACGTAATTACACGTGATAGCTCAGAGTTCTGCCTTATCATGTGTCACCTGGCTCACCCTCTGCTTGGTTGAGTAAGCATTTTCTGGCAGCAATAGGATAAAGAAGGGCATTTGAGGTGGAAGGAATTTATGTACAAAGGCTGGAAAAAGAAGGCTTGATAGCAGTGCAGATTTGAAGAGGCTGAGGCTGGAGGCTGGGAATCTAAGGAGCCCTAGTCAATTGTCCAGATCTGAGATGGTGGCAGTGGCTACATGGCATAGGACAGAGAGGAGAATGCCGGAGAGGGACCAATTCCAGAGATTTCAAGGAGGTAGAGTCGGCAGGACTTGGCTGTTAATTGAATGCCAGGCTGAGACAGGGAAGAGTCTTAAGCTAGGCCTCTTGTTGGTCTCAGGCATTTGGACTGAGGTTGATGCTCCCAGTGAGATGGGAGTTTCAGGAGGGGAACAGGTTTACATGGAGGAAAGAATGAGTTCCCTTCTGGACACTTGGGGTCTGATACGCCTGAGGGAGGGACCTCTGTGAGCAGTCCCATGGGCAGGCAGCTCCTCAGGTGTTCAGGAAAGAGGTCCGGGCACACCGGGGAGTCAGCAACAATTCCTGCGGTGAGCATGGAAGACAAGATCATTATTTCATCTCACAACTCTGGCTGAGCTGGACTGATCCCACTGCAAAGCTGAAGCTCTTACCAGCCGCAGGACTACCCAGGGCTCCCGGTCCTAGCCCTGTTCACCTGGCCAAAGGTCTCAACTCAGGGACCTCTGCAATATATGGGTGGGTGTGCCGTGGGAGAGGAGTGTGGACAAGCCAGCTTCAGAACCAGGTAGAACGTGTTGGCTCTTCATATAGTTATTGTTCAGGACGTGAGATCTGAAGACAGGAGGGAAGCACTGGGTTCTGGGGTAGGGGAGGGACAGCCTAAGAGTCCCTTCTATTCATCTCTGTTCGCTGCTCTTTCCTTGCCCAGACCTATGCGGAGATGGACCCTACGACAGCAGCTTTGGAGAAAGAACACGAGGCGGTAAGCAGGGGCAGGGGTCCTGACTGCGGGCTCCCCCCTCCCCTGCTCTCCTCGCTCTAACCAAGCCATCCACTGCCCTCCACAGATCACCAAGGTGAAGTATGTGGACAAGATCCACATCGGGAACTACGAAATCGACGCCTGGTACTTCTCACCGTTCCCCGAAGACTATGGGAAGCAGCCCAAGCTCTGGCTCTGCGAGTACTGCCTCAAGTACATGAAGTATGAGAAGAGCTACCGCTTCCACCTGGTGAGGCGCTGACACCGTGGCACTGGGAGAGCCACAAGTTCAGAGCAGAGGACAGGAAAAAGCTGCCCGTGGGTGGAGAGACCCGATTCCTGCCTGGCTGTGTCTTTGCTGGAGTGACTTAGGCCATCTTGCCCCTCCCCAGACCTCAGTTTCCTCTTCTGCGGAATGGGGCCAGTAATCCCTGCCCTTACACCTTCCTTGGATCCCTTGCCCTTCTGCACATGTGTATCAAAGCCAGCTTAGTGCCAGGTTCCTCGGTGCAAAAGCAGAAGTAAGCACAGCCCCCAAGCGATGGGACTGGGAGGTGTGACAGATGGGAGGTGTTGGTACACGCAGGCTGCCAGGGGGGTCATCTCATCATTCATGCAGCGGCATGTTTCCCAAAGAGTGGAATCTGAGGCAAATGTATGCAGTTTAGGAAACACCATTGCCAGGGATCAGGGCCCTCCAGAGTCCTCTAGAGCCAGGCCGGCCTGGACTCAGCCATCCAGCTGTGTGTTGCTCAAGCCAGTTCATAGCCCCTGTGTGCCTTAGGCTCGGTCTCCTCAGGTGGGTGAACTACTGGATGTGGGTGAAGTGTGGAGCTCAGGATCTACATATAGGGAAACCGAGAAGCAGAGATCGGCTGCAAGCCACATGGGGCAGAATGAAGGGCACCCGGCAGGAAACCTCGGGGTCTCAAGCCTCCCTCTTCCCATCCAACCCCAGGGCCAGTGTCAGTGGCGGCAGCCCCCAGGAAAGGAGATCTACCGCAAGAGCAACATCTCTGTGTACGAGGTGGATGGCAAAGACCACAAGGTGAGCTGGGTGGTCACGGTGCTGGGTGTGGGAGGGGGGAGCACAGGCACCGCTGGACAGCCTTCACTGCCATCAGGACAGAGGCCAGCCTTAGGGTGAGCAGCTCCCCCAGGAAGAGGCCTGAGGGGTCACACGCGGCCTGGCACTTGGCCTGTGGCCGGTGCTTGGTCAACATGTGGGCCTGCCGTGCCAGCCTTGGGGACTGGTGCTTCTCTCCCTAAGGACTTCTCTGCTGCTGGGGTGGTTGAGGTTTGAAGCGAAGATTGTCGTGCCTGAGGCTGTCTCTAGAAGGCTTTCTCTTTCTGCCTGAGGAAAAGGTGTTTGGTTTTCCCCAGGTGGGACCTGCTTTGTGGAAGGGTTCCTGCCCAGAGCTTTGTGGCTCTGCTGGCCCAGTTCCTTGTTCCTGGTGAACGGACTTGAATGGGGCAGGGTGGGGCATTGGGCTCTGCTTCCCTGTTGAGAACCTGGCCTTTGCCTGGTCAGTCTGGGAAGGTGGCACCAAATGTCCCATTTCCCGTGGAAGGGCAGTTAATGAAGACAAACTTTGAGTGGCTCCTGGCTTCAGATGACCCCATCACTTCCTATCTGACCTTAGACAAATTACTTAACATTGTTTGTTCCTGTTTCCTCATCTATACGACGGGAGTCACGACCATATTTACCTAATAGGGCTGTTGGTGGAATAACTGAGATAGCAATGTCACATACTTAGCACGGTACTTGGCACCAAGTAGGTGCTTAGTAATGGGCCTTCGTTATTGCTGGTGACGGTGGTGGCTCAGTCAGCCTTGTGATAATTGCTTGGGGAAGGAATAGCCACACTGAGCCTGGCCCGCTGCTCTGCCTTGAGCAGCA